ACACACACACACACACACACACACACACACACACACACACACACACATCTGTTAGTTTAGAAATGTCAGTTCTTGAATTTATTTTTAATATGACCTCTTAAAAATTAGAAGCAGCATTAGGATTAAATTCATAACAGAAAAGTTTGCACAATCTCTTGTTTTTCTCTTAGGAATAGATGAAGAAAACATGGCGGGAAATGACAAAGGAAGACGTGCAAACAGAAACAGGGCAAGAGTGAGGAAGCAGCATGGGGGAAGGAGAAGGAGAGAAAGCCAAATGAAATGTTTGGAGTCTCCTTGTGAAGCCAATCGGAGGCCAGAATTCCACCGAGTGCATCTTGAACTTGAAGCACATCTATTTTAACTCATGTGATTTACTTGATGTGGGTGACAGACCGAAACAGGAACAATCATCGTGTGTCAAGCTGTCCATTCGCCATGTCTTCACAGCCCTGTCCACTGTTTTTGTTTGCCATCCTAACCAGCCTGTGCCCTTGACCAGTCAACACGAGACTGTGAGTTTGCACATGTCCACATGGGCGCTCTGTTGAGTCCCAGATTTAGAAGGGACTCACTGTTCCTGAGAACCCCAGAACTCAACTTTTCTCTTCCTCTAAATTAGAATGGGATGGCCTGTGTTTATGCTTTAATGAAGTAGAACCACATGGCTGCAACCTTTGTCCTGGGGATCGTGTGGAGAGGCACTGCACAGACCCTCCTCTATCTTGACGACATGGCTGCTGTGCTTACTGAGAAACTAGTTGTCTTTGCTTCTTCCTTAGGAATTCAATGTTTTTCCCTGGATCCTGTTTCTAAAGAGGGAAAGAAGGGCAATGCAGGGAGGAAAGGAAGGAGAAAGGGAGGGAGGAAGGAAAAGATGAAGGTCTATACTTTTCGTTATAGTTGGTGCGCACACATATCTGCACATGTTCATATGTATGACTATGGTTGTGCTGTAGTCAAAAGAGAATCCCAGGTGTTGGCCCTTAGCTTTCACCTCTTTAGAAGCAGCGTTTCTCATTTGCTAGCTATTGCATTCACTAGATTCAATGGCCCACAGGCCTCTTAGGGATTCTCCTGTCTGTCTCTCATCTCACTGTAGGAACACCAACACAGGAATACGCCACTGTGTCTAGCTTCTACCCAGGATCTAGGGATTTAAACTCTGTCTTTGCATTTGCAGGGAAAATCTTTTACACACTGAACCATTGCCTCAAATCTCCAGGTTTTCTGTGGCTGTACTGAACCTTGGTCACCATGCATGCTAGGTAAGTACTCTGCTACTGAGCTACATCCCTAACAAGATGCAAATGTTGCCACGGTTTTTCATAGGATACGTGACATCTTCTCAAAAAAAAAAGTCTAGGAAATTCTCTTTCATTTGTCCTGGTTGCAAGGAAAGGGTGCATATTTCTGGGAACCCTATGGTCCTTTATTATATGTAATAATCAATCTGGAAATTTGCTTATGGATGTCTTCCTTTATCTCACAAGCTCTTCTCCCTTCTATAACTCTTTGGTACCCTTTAAGCACCAGCACAGATGGCACTGTCTTCAGAATGCCCTCCTAACTTCTCCCACCCACATGGAAACCCTCACCCAGTAAAACCTTTCATCCCTTCCTCCCCTATATCTCTAGCACCTGACCTCTGCATTCTCTTATGGGGCTCGTGTAGATGGCAGTTTGCAATAGCCCACTGATGATAGAAATTGCCAGCTATCATCATCCAATTTCTTCTCTAAATGATTATTTTTTTAGATGTATGTGTGAGTGCCTACATGACTTTATATGTACCATGTGTGTGCAGTTGCCCATGGCAGCCAAAAGAGGGCATCAGATCCCCTAGAACTGGAATTATAGGCAGTTGTGAGTCACTGATGTGGGTGCTGGGAACTGAACCCAGGTTCTCTGCAAGAGCAGTGGGTGCTCTTAACTGCTGAGCCTCCCCTTTAGCCCCATCATCTAATTCCTAACAGTGTAGTAAGCTTTAAATTGAACAGGCAGGAAGACAATAGGAGAACCTAAAGAAGAGAGAGAAGATAGGGGGAGGTCTCTAGCAACTGAGGGTAACAGAAAACACAAGCCGATGTGGTGGTGTCGTGGAGGGCGACAGGAAATGCTAGGGGAAAGACAGAGTGGTGGGAAAACAGAACCATGGGGATGAAGGCAGAACAGGAAGCTGTCAGATCAGTGATGCTTTGTAATGTCATTATGGTAAGTGTCACCTAAGTGGATGCCTTGGGTGGAATCTACTTCCTTGTTGGGTGAGGAAGGGGGAGATAATCATACCACCATCCCAAGGCTACCTCTTCTTCCCGATCCCCCCTGGCAGTTTGACCTGTCCCAAGTTTCCACATTGCTGTGATGTCTGGCTAGATTTGTCTCCATCCGCCTGGCAGAGCATGAAGCCTGCTTCCCCCAGCTCCCGCACAAGGGCCTAGATGAAATTCCCTGGCTCTGCTTCTTCTGTGAAGTTTGAATAAAACATAATTATTCTTTAATTTAAAAACATGCTCAGCATAATCTGAGCCCTTCCTTTCATGCAGATCTTACAAAATCACCAAGGATCCAGGAAGAAAGGAGCCTTAGCTTTCAGTCTGCCTTCATTTACGATCAAGCTATCAGATTCCTTACGGCAATGCAAAAAGTATGTCGGATGCCCCATAATACAGGGGGAGGGAGGAAGAGACGCTGTTTGGAAATTTAACTGTTGACTGAAAATGCAACAACAGGCCATTCCCTAGGGGAGAGACACGGGAATGGTGGGGAGCAGCGTGGCCCTGACATGACCTGGAGGGTTAGCAGGAGGCAGAAGTCTCAGGCTAACGGGCCAGCCTGCTTGGTACCACCTCAGCAGTCAGTCTCTCTTCCGGCTTCATTGTCCTGCTCCCTGCCAGCTCCACTTGTTCGCCCTGCAGAAACCACAAAGTGGTGCCTCGGGATAGGGAGGGAACCGGGGAAATCCAGATTCCATTATTTCGGGGTGGCGGGCATTTCAAGCAGTTCTCTATATATCATCTCATTTGACCCTACCAAAAGTAACCAGAAGAAAACTAAAACTGGTGTATTACCTGCTGGATTCCTACTCAGTTAAAGAAACCTGGAGCTATGAATCCTGGGAATTGTCTGAGTTTGCATGGTTGATAGGCGTGCAGCCCTGTCTGCTGCCTCCGGAGGCAGCGTTGGCTTTCCCACCATTTTCTTGCTCTTCTTGGTTCGCCCAGCATGGTCTGTTAGGAGACCAGAAAGACTCCTTGAGCACACTGAGGGCCTGACAGACTCTCGTGACCCGGGCTGACCTGGAGAATGAGCCACCAGGCATGCTTTTCTTCCATTGGAAAAATTTGTTCCCGGTTGGTTCTAAACAACGGATTTACATACAAGATTTGAGTGCACGGCCCGTCTGGGAGCTAGCTAGCACGGCCTGTTCTAGGTTCCCAGCATCTAAGCATAGAACGACGGCCCCTTTTATTTTTCCTGCTCTGTTTTTGGAAACTACCAACGAGGGTGCCAATTAGCACCAGATGGGACAGGGACTGTGTGATGTGGAACTCCGACCGCTGGGAACTGGAACACATCCACTAATGTATTAAGCAACCAAAGAGCCAGTGGTGGGGCAGCCTACGGGAGAGGCTCAACTAAGTTCTCTTCTGCGCCGGCCCAGATCTGACCTATCCCCATTCATTGTGAGGGGGTCTGGGACTTTGATCTCTGTAACCCTCAAAGCCATGGGCCCTTGTTTATATATTGCCTTTTGATCTGTATCCAGTATTATTTTAAACTTGAACAAATCTTTATGGGGTGATAAGTAAGTTGAGGGATGCATGTTTGTCTTGAAATGCTATTTTTAATTTTTAAAATTAAAATATAATTGTATCAATTCCCTTGTTCTTCTAACCTCCCCCAGGTAACACACACACACACACACACACACACACACACACACACACACACACACACACACACTTCCTGCTCAAATATGGGCTCTTTTTCTTTCATTGTTATTGCTTTTGTATGCCTAAATATATAAATGCAACCTGTCTGGTCTGTTTAGTGTTACTTGTATGTATATGATTTCAGGGTTGACCAGGGTATTGGGTCACCAGTTAGGGGCCTCAAGTCCGGGGGAGACGATTTCTCCTGCCCTCAGCACTCCTTAGCTGCCTGTAGTTCTTTGTCTAGGTGTCGGGCTCTGTGGCATCTCTCCGTTCTACGCTGGCTTGTCTTCTGGTGTCCTCATCCCTGTTCAGGTCTTGGTTTGCAGCCATGTTGTTGAGGTTGTATGAGTGAGGCTTCCCTGCCATTCCCAGGAGACACAGTCTCACAGCAGATTCCCTGGTCATCTGACTCTTACAATCTTTGCATCCCTCTCTCTTCCACAATGTTCTCTGAGCCTTAGGTGCAGGATTCTTACTCAGATGTCTTGACATTTCTGGAGAGCCTGACTTTTGAAACCATGATTTTGTCTGAATACACAAATCCAGCAGAGAGCTGAAACTTCAGACAGGCTGCTCAGGCTTAACTGGCTTGCAACCCTGAAGGCATATCAGGGATGCAGCACAGATCACTGATGTTACCCAGGTGTTCATTTTCCCTTTATTTGGTAGCAATGTGTTTTCAATGCCTATGTCCTGCTGAGAGCCGTTACCTGCCATTCACTGTGTGATTTACCAGCTATTCCCAGGCAGAGATTTAAGTCACCTTAAAGATAGCTAACCACAACACAAACTGTACATAGCCTTACCTCAGCTGTATACAAACTCACTTCTAATAGAAATGACTTAAGGTTTCATCCATAAAATTTGGGGGTTGGGTTGCAACAGTGCTTCCCAACATTTTTTTTTAATTCATAATTCATATCATATGAAAAATGATACTTTGAGAGCTCATTGTCTTAAAGTGATAGGTGAGATAACTCGTGGCCAGAGGAGAATGACTGTGGGCTGGGTGACACAGAACCTGTCCAGATCACACAGGGTCCCATCGAGTCAGTGTCTTAGCGCACCTGGAACCCATCTGTAGTGCCTCCATTGCCACAGATACCCCTAGACATACCAGGTCAGAGGCTCTGAACTAGTGGGTAGACTGACTGCCTGTGGGGTCTGTGACAGCTTCAAAGCAGGAATTTACTCGGATTGGGCACTGCGTGTGACTGAGAACTGTGCTTCAGAGCCTGGACCTAGACTAGGCACTGATCCCAGAGAAGAATTCCCTTGTTTACAGGAGGAGTAAGGAGCCACCTACTGCTTGGGTAAACAACTGCTCCAGGTTGACCTGGAGTGAAAGGATTTCCATGGCTTGAAGACTTTGTTAATCCTCTGCCTACTGTCTATCAAAATCCTCTATTAATATATTTTCTTTGTGGTGTAGGCACTGGCAAGTAGCCGTGCTCCATCAGTCACCTACCAGCAATGCCCCTGAAAGCAACCCTAATTAAACTCCTGGAGGTCACAAAAAAAAAAAAATTAGACTGTCTGTAGAAGGTGGTCTAGTTGGAAAGAGAAGGGCGAGAAAGGATGATGGATATGATCAATACTTATTATATGTATGTATGAAGATGCCACAAAGAAATTCATTATCATATATAGTTAATATGTAACTATATATAATATTAAATAAATATTAAAAATTCTCAAATTTTCTATTAGGAGACAAACAAAACAGAGACACAGTCTGCGCATCCACAGGCTTCCACAGTCTGTGCATCCACAGGTTTCCACAGTCTGCTCATTCACAGGCTTCCACAGTCTGCTCATCCACAGGCTTCCACCGTCTGCCATCTTCCCTGGCCAGCCACAACAAAAGAAGCACTCTATGCATGTGTTAGAAGAGCCCAAGTCATCTATGGTTTATAAATCAGAAGTCTGGGAGACTTCTCTTATGAAATGTTTTCCTCATACAGTTGTTTTTGCCAGTTCTGAGAGGAAACAGTGGGCTGAAGTGGAGAGGCATGACCAGATGACGAGTACTAAACAAGGGCTTCGTGCGAAGGTCAGCTGGGAACAGCCAGACTCATGACAATAGCGGCTCTGACATGACTACCTCTTGCCTGAGAATCTCATAAACATGCGCTCTAGGCTATCCTTGGTTTCAGCAGCTGCTGATTCTTTCGTTTAATTATAAGCTACAAGCAAGCTTCTTAAAGAAGCAACGTGCGTATGGAACAGTGTCCAGAGGACACGCTGTTCACAAATGTTAAGATAGTCAGCACTGTTGGAATTATATGTCCTAATAAGAGATGGGTGGACTGTGTGGGACAAATGAGAGCCACCACCCGCCCAAAGTTAAACCAAAATTGTTTTTGAGGTTCAAAAATATTCACATGACAGCTTTCTATGTTTGGCTAGGGCAAACTAAGCTTGCATGCCCAGAAAATAATTTTCTCTATCTGTCAAGTTAGCACAAAAAGTTGCCACAGGAATCAAGAGATAGCACAGCCCTGGCTTCTTACCCTCGGGCAGAGCTACTGTGTCACAGATCATGTTTACTGTGAGCCTACTGTGTGCACAAAACCAGCCTTGGCACAGAAGGGATGAGAAATGGTGAGGGGAAATGTGCTCTCATGTCACACTCTAGAGGAAAATGTCTTCCAAGGAAGTCATTGTCAGATACAACATAAAACAAACACACCCCAAGTATGAAATACTGTGTTCCTGGTAGCAATTCACCAAACATGGGTAAGGCCCTGGGTCCGATTGCCAACAATGCAAAGAAAAAGAAAACGGACAAATCCTAACTCCCTTTTACCCTTTGGATACTCAGATAGGAAGAGCAGCCCTGGCTGGTCAGGAAAACACAAAGACTAGAAACAGGAAAGGGAAAAGCGTCCATCTCCTTCTGCTATTGGCTGGAATAGCACTTCTCCTCCAAGTCGCTAACCAACCACAAATCAGTTGTTGCTGTTGCAGGCCACTGTGCTTCCTACCTGCTTCCCACTGCTTTAGAAAGAAGTCCATGCCCAGAGCACATTCCAAGGTGTGACCCAGAACCTTCGAGGCTCAGACACCTCCCTGAGGGGTAAGTCTAAGCAACAAGTCACTTCTCCAGTGAGTCACCTTTTCAAAAGGCTTCATAACTGTTTCCTTGTACTGGATGAGCCAAATCCTTACAGCTCCAATTTTGTCCTACTTCTTTTCTTTTTTGATCAAGAAAAAAAAAAAGTGCATGAAATTCAGCAAACTGGCTGGCCTCCCTTCTGGAGTTTTCTCTAAATGTTCGCGATGAACATGGCTGTATACAGCCTACGTAGTTGTCAGAGTGGGTCTACTGTAAGAATGAAATGCCAAAATTTCTTTTTCATAAATAAATGGACTGACTCAGTGTGCCTTGAAAGATAAAGACAGGGAGGAAAAGAAAGAGGAGGAAGGGAAGAGAGAAAGAGATAACATGAGCGTGCGTTAAAGTTGGGAAGAAAGGAGGCTTAGCCAAAGAACCAGATGGGAAATAATGGGGTGTAAGTTGAATCCAAACACATTATATATGTTTAAATATTCAATAAAATGTTTAATTTAAAAATAAGTAATTAATAATAAGCATAACAAAGTCCACATAAAGTAGCCTCTCTTCATTAATTCATGTACACAAGAAATATCTACCTCATTCCCTCTATATACCCAGCACTGCCCAGGCCATGAAAAAAATGTAAGGTAGGACAAAATCCTCTCCATCATGAAGTTCACAGTCTTCTGTGAGGAAAGAAATAAAAGATATAAGAAATGAAATATCAAATATAAGCCTTTCTGGGAAAAATTGATTTAGATGGGAGGTCCTGAGTGGAAAAGAGCACAAGCTGACAGAGAATGATCATGAGTAACTGAAAATGAGATGCTGAACACAGAACTAGAAGAGACAACAGAGAGAAAGAGACAAAGGAATCAGGAAGTGCTGCTCCAGGGGAAGATCCAGAGGCTGGCACACAGTGGGAGATTGTGTCAGTCCAGCAGTCCCATTGGCTCGCCATAGTCTCTCAGGTATGCCGAGATGTAACTCATTACAGCGCTCGCAAATCAAGCAAATAAAACATGTGAAAGAAAGCATGCCTCAACACCCTCTGGGTGACGCCCAGAGCAGCTCTATGCTAAGTGAGAAGCCATCTCTGCACAGGTAAAAGTACAAACACAGCAATACAATCCAGAGCGAGCCTTACCATTGTTAAGCGTAATTAATTTTGTTTTCCATTGTTATAGGCTGAACACAGCCAGAGATGTTTACTTTGGGGACAGGGGGAGTGAATGTTGAAATACATTCTATAAACATTGTGTAAGTTATGGCATAAAGTTACATTTTATAGGCAATTTTATTGGTCTTATATCCATTGGCCAAAAATCTCAGGTGCTGAGGTTGGTGGAAAAATAAGCTACTGTCTGTAGAATTTTTCAATAAAACAGCCAAAAAAGGAGCTGATGTTAAAGAAAAATTGACGTTGAAAACTAATATTATTTTAGAGACTATTTTTTTACGTTATATTTATGCACACGAGACCACTTTAGAACTTTATTCCTCTCAAAGGATTTCAGTGTTTTCCAGAGTTTGGTCTTTACAGTTGGGTTTAAATGAAGATCAAAAT